AATGTGAACCTGTTCTTCTCCACGGACATCGAGACGGCCATCAAGGAGGCGGACCTCATCTTCATCTCGGTGAACACGCCCACAAAGACCTGCGGCAATGGCAAGGGTAAGTAAATATAAACAATCGAATATACTCAATAGATACAGCAATTATCAGATGCTATGACTTACAACATTTATTCAACTTGAAGGCTGAAACCTGTTGCTCATCTGCGTTCATAAGCTTTGAAAATATAGCTATTAAATCATCCTATCAAATCATGGATTTTTTTAATATAATAGCAATAAAATGGCTAAGCTAAAAGGCAGACATAAATAATTACAGCATGAGGTAACACTTGAAAATATAAGTTCTAAAATTAAACACAGCAAAATGTTTTTTTAATTTGGAGACAAAACATTGTAAAGTCTGAGTTTAATCAGAAATCGTTTGATAATCAAACATCACTAAAATACAATTAATTAAAAAAGCAACGTCTATAGTTAATTAAACCAATATGTTTAACTTATCAAGGTTCTTGTACCCCTTCATCTCAGATGAGCGAGCAATACTTTAAATTAGATCAGAAGCGTATATGGTCAAACTAAAGATCACTTACTAATCCACTTTTCCAATCTGCAGGACGAGCGGCGGACCTGAAGTATGTGGAGAGTGCAGCGCGGATGATCGCCGAGATCGCCCAGTCCAACAAGATTGTGGTGGAGAAGAGCACGGTGCCCGTGCGGGCGGCGGAGAGCATCATGCACATACTCCGGGCGAACCAGAAGCCGGGCATCCACTACGACATTCTGTCCAATCCAGAGTTCCTGGCCGAGGGCACCGCCATCAATGACCTGCTGAATGCGGATCGCGTGCTGATCGGCGGCGAGGAGACGCCCGAGGGTCACCAAGCGGTGGAGAAGCTGTCCTGGATCTACGAGCACTGGATACCCAAGCAGAACATCCTCACGACCAACACGTGGAGCAGCGAGCTGTCCAAGCTGGCGGCGAATGCATTCCTGGCCCAGCGAATCTCCAGCATCAATTCGCTGTCGGCGGTGTGCGAGGCCACCGGAGCAGATGTCTCCGAGGTGGCGCGTGCCGTCGGTCTGGACTCTCGCATCGGTTCCAAGTTCCTGCAGGCCTCCGTGGGCTTTGGCGGCAGCTGCTTTCAGAAGGACATCCTCAACCTGATCTACATCTGCGAGAACCTCAATCTGCCCGAGGTGGCCGCCTACTGGCAGCAGGTGATCGACATGAACGAGTACCAGAAGCGGCGATTCTCGCAGAAGATCATCGAGAGTTTGTTCAACACGGTGTCGGACAAAAGAATAGCGATCTTGGGCTTTGCCTTCAAGAAGAATACGGGCGATACGCGCGAAACGGCCGCCATAACCGTATGCCAAACTTTACTGGAGGAGGGCGCCGCACTGGATATCTACGATCCTAAGGTGGAACCGGAGCAGATCATTGACGACCTCACGCATCCCAGTGTCACGGAATCGCCGGAGAAGGTGAAGAAGGCGGTGCAGATCCACAGTGATCCCTACAGCGCAGTTCGTGCCACACATGCGTTGGTCATCTGCACGGAATGGGATGAGTTTGTCGACCTGGACTTTGAGCGCATATACAAATCAATGATGAAGCCGGCTTACATCTTCGATGGCCGCAAGATCCTCGACCACGAGCGACTGCAGCAGATCGGCTTCCATGTCCAGACCATCGGCAAGAAGTACCAGCGCGCTGGATTGCTCCGCTCCTGGGGCATTGTGCCGCAGCTTTAGGCGCGTCGGGCGGCGGAGGTGGTGGCATTCACACTTAAAGTTGGCGAAATTTCCAGTATTTGCGAGACTAAATTGTAAATATGCGTATTTTTTTCTGTATCTAAGTGTGTGTTAGATTGGGTCGATTAAGAGGATAGCCACTAGCTAAGACCAAAAGCAATTTTTAATCATTCTTGGACAATTAGACTATTACTTTGAGCCTGCTTAAGTTGAAGTATGAGTAGGACATTGAAATCATTTCCAAGAAAGCAATTATCGTCGCACTTTGTGAATTTTAAGTGAAAAGTAAATGTTGAATTCTTGAATATTGTATATTAATTTCTAAAGAGAGTAAGCTTTTAAAACATTTCTGTATATAATAAGAAAGCGTAATACTTAATTGAACTCGATGAAGGCAATATTTAACCACAAAGTTATAAAACGTAGCATTTTTTGTTAGATACCCCACTGATCAGACAATACTATAATTTCCCCACATCGACCCAAGCTAACGAGTGTGTTTTTAAATAGTTAAAGTATTCAACTAGGCACACCCGAAAGGGAAACCCTCGAACCGTATTTGTATTCATATTCCTATTCCCCTGCCGATCCGCCACTCGAGGATCGGTAGTTGCAATATAAGTCCACGCAGGACAACATCTCCTGCGGCGGGCCAATAAATACCAGCATTTACACGAGAGCATGTAAATTTTATAACCAAAATAACAACAGTGCGTTCAACTAATGGTGCCTCTTTAGAAGGGTATCCTCTTCACTATTTGGCGGTACCACAAAAAGGAGGTGGCCGCCGACAGGCTGAACCAGGTCACCAGGTACGACAGGTGATCGTTGCGCAGGGTAACGCGTGTCTGGCCACCGATGGGACCATGTGCAGCCGCTTGGGCATCGTACACGGCATCCAGGAACACAGGAGCCGCGCCTGTGGAGGCGCACATGCGTGCCAGGTCGCGATAGAGGTAGACATTGCCCTTGTGGTCAGGTGTGAACTGGGGACGGGCCTCTCCTTTGCGCACCACGGCCGTGAGCTCCACTTCCGCCGGCTGTTGGCCCAAGGCTCGGGTTTCCGGCTCCACTTGCTTGCGGGACACCCATCCCCGATTGACCAGCACTATGTCGCTAAGGGAATTGATGACAGTTAAGATGATTCAAAGAGCTTCTCTTGAGTATAACTCACTCTCTATCGGCGAGCTGAAAAGGGGTTACTATTAGATAGCCATTGCCCGAGTCCCGCTGCGAGAAGAGTCCTCCTTGGGTTTCGACGCCATCGGGACGTATGAGCGATCTCGGACCCATGCGCATCTCCTTGTCATGCAGGAAACGTCCTCGGATCTTGACCAGCCGGTACTCCATTTGGGATAGGTCGCTGAGACTGCCGGAAGCACACATTAGAGTGGGAGTGTATACAGCAGCATATGCTGGCAAACCTACTCATCTGGTAGCGCCACAGGCGGCGCGCTGAGCTGTTTGTCCAGATCCTTGATCAACTGCTCCTTCCAAATCTTGCGCTTCACTTGCCAGCAGCCCAAGCCAAATGTGGTGGCGGGAATAAGCTAGGAAATGGGTGGCAACAATGGTTAGTGGCTTATGGAGCTAAGGAGGCGAGTTTTGACACACCAGGAGGAACCATCCCAGTGGAGCAATCTTTTCCTTGTCCTTCGCCGCCTGATTGGGAATGCTGGTGGTCCAATTCACCGGCGATCGCTGTTGTGTCATCTTCCGGGTGATTAAGTTCGGTGTGTTCGTGGTGCCCGGGTATCGGGATACAGTCTGCATTTTATAGGCCACTTGCCGGCACATTTGACTGCCCAAACGCATCATGCTTTCTATTATTTAGTTATAAAATTTCTATTTACTTATTTATCTACATTTCTAATTGGAAGTTGACAGTATGACCGTTTTGCGCTGTTATAAGCGGCCACAAAATCTGGCGGTCACACCATTTATGAAACAAAGCTGTTGTTGATTTTATGAATTAAAGCAACGGGAATCTGAAGCGTAAGAGTAAATTAAGTAAGTGTTTATACTTTTCATATGCTAGAAAACATATACTTTCCCTTACAACGATCTTTAACTATAACTGTTATTCATCTGTTATTAAATAACTGTTAGCCTCTCTTTATACGCGAGTTGGCAGCCCTGCTGGGATCAGCTGTTTCGGACTGTTGTCGCGTGCAATTGGATTTTTTAAACGATTTTGTTTTAGTAAATTTGAAAAATATTTTAAAATGCACTGCACTCGAGCAGTTGCAAGACTGGCCGGCGGCATAGCGAGAAGCACATGGGTAGGTTCAAAGCAATGGATATGCTTGATTTACACAAAACAGAGCCCACCGAATGCACCGCCTGCAACTCTTATATAAACGGCTGTACAAATTTTAAATTAAACATATTATAGGCAACACCACATACCTACAAACACAGCCCAGCGATACTGGGCACACTGGAGCAGCCCTGCCGCTTGTGTTCATCCACCGGCGTGGTGGACAATGCCAATAAAACGAAACCAGGCGCAGCAGCAGCCACAGAAGGTGGAATCCTGAAGAGAGTGCTCAACAAAGTGGGCTTCACACCGAACACAAAGGCGGTAGGTGAATGATACTTATACCCAATATGCTTGATATTCAGCTTAGTAATCCATTTTCAGCGCCTCAAGGTAACCAGTCATCTGCTGTACGAAAGCGTTGCCGACAAGATCAACTATGTGGCCTTCTTCCGCGACTTCAATCTGCCCAATACCTTCAACTCCTGGTTTCTGGTCACCGAACTGCACGTTTGGCTGCTCCTAATGCGCTCCATGGCCGAGGGCTCCGAAACGGGCGAGGATGGACGCTTCCTGCGCAACTGCATTGTGGAGGCCATGTGGGGTGATGTCAACACACGCGCCAAGAAATTGGGAGTAGGTTTTACTCGAGTTCATCCTTAGTTGGCTTTATTCTTTATACTCTGCATGCTGTCTTGCCCAACAGGCTCACAATCCCTCCCGCACCCGTCAGCAGATCGAGACGTTATCCGAGCAATTCCAAGCCGCTTTAATCGCCTACGACGAGGGCATTATGTCCGACGATCGGGTCCTGGCCTGCGCCTTGTGGCGCCGCTTCTTCGAGATGAACTGCGACGATTACGCGCAGATGGAGCGACTGGTGAAGTACGTCCGCCAGCAGGCCAGTATGCTGGATAGCTTGCCGCGCGATCAGTTCATTGTCAAGCCGAAAGTAGCATGGTTGGATTTGGACAAGTGCAAGGTTTAATCTTAGTTATATTCTGTTTTTAAAATAAAGTTGTGAGTATGTAAACGGAAAGCTAAATGTTCAGATCCTCCACGGACTGATTACTCAGGGCACGCAGCTGACACTTGAGCAGAAATGCTGTAATCCTCCGCTCTGCCCGTCTCCTCTGTGGTTCCCTTAGTTGGGCCAGTACTTGGTCCATCTGGAGAAAGCTGCTTCTGGGGGAGAGTATCTCAGCTGGCTCTTGTTCCTCGTAGATGATTTCCTCCTGGATGATCTGTTCGCTAGGCTCCTCGATGATCTCCTCGATGATAAAGGTACTGGACTGCTGTGGCACATCCCCATCCTCATAGGTTTCCCACAGGAACTGCACAGGAGTTTCTGCTTGGATGGTCGCCTCTGGTTTGCCCGTGGAGTCCCTTACTTTGGGTTTGGTTTTGATTTTCGAGGGCGGCTGTATCTCGGCCAGAAATCGGAGGCGTTCCAAGTACGGCCAGGTGGATCCACTGGTGTCCGCCCGGCGAAACTCCTTGCGAAACTGATAGTGCAGATTGTTCCAGCGCATCAGGCAGAAGTCCACTAGGAAGAGTGTTACTTTATATGGTCATAACCAATGCATTAATGAGCTGGCTTACCATCGCAGCCCATCATCTCGGCTATGCGAGCCCAAATATCAGTTTTCGCCTTCATGGCGTCGTAGTTCGAGAGCCCTGATCTCTTGTAGAGCACCGGATTTGGTTCCACCAGATCAATTAGCTTGAAGTCGAAGGGTCTGTTTTTCTTGTAACTGGTGCGCATTGCTATAAAATGCGTCTGTAAACTGAATTTGATAATCAAGAATCGCTAGTTTGAGCCATGTTTGTTTACCTTAAGAAGTACGGCAGAGCTTCGATTAGGCGAACCCAATAGGACTCGTTTTGTTGCTCTCTTTTAATCGCAGGCAAAAATACTTGAACAATTTGGGGAGTCTACATATAAACATGGTTTAATTGAACTGCAACATTACAACCTTTTTCATTAGTTATTACTTAACAGATTGTAAATTACAAGTCAACTACTGGGAGTGATCACTGTAGCATTCCCATTTCTGGTCACATTTCGGTATTTGGGCAGGGGTAAAACTTGGTCACATTACCTTTGCAAACGACTTTTATCGAAGTTCTTTGAGCCCGATAAGTTCAGACAGTTACTGTCAGACGGAGTTCTTATTGTTTTGTTTAACAAATTAATAGTTCCGCAGTTAATTACCGGCGACGTCTTAACAAAATACTGGTTAGAGCACTAACACGAATAACAAAGAAACCTGCGTAGGGCTCAAGCGAAATATTATACGATATCTTTTCAGTAATTAAAAGTGTTAAATATATTCAAAATAATAATTTATAAATAATAATATAGTGTTTGGCAATTGAAAACAAATATTTTGTCATTGCTTCCTTTACATTTGTCATCGGCCCTGGAAAACTCAATCGATGTTTCCAGAAAACTCAACCAATCGAACCAATCGATATTAACACCGATTTTTTCCACAGCTCTATTGACGACGTAGAAGCAAAAAAAAATTGTGGAGTGAAAAATTGTGAAAAGTGACCGAAAAAACTATTATTTGGCCAGCTATATTTCCACTTACAGCACAGCAGCAATGAACATGTGAGTACAGAAACATAAATCCACATATTTTAGGCCAAAATTCGAGCTACCATGCGGCCAGGGGCCGAGTGTCGAAAATCAATAAATTCAAAATGGCAGTAAAAAATGAAAATTACATAAAAAAAGATCGTTTCGTGTAAATTTCAACATTTTGGCAACGCATTAAAAGGCTCAAAATTCTAATTTCATGGCGCAATACGCTCGTTGCAGGTACAACGGACAGTTGAACGCCTACGGAGGCGGCGGCGGAGGAGGAGCTGGTGGCCTAGCCGGCGGTATGGTGCCCAATCGCATGGGCGGTGGTGCTCCCGGGGGCGGACCCGGTGGAGCTGGCATGTTCCAGCGCAATCGCTCCGCTCCATATCCAGGTTTCAATGGTCACGGACCCGCCAATGGAGGCCAGCGACGTATGAACGTTGGAGGTCCTGGCATGGGACCCGGAGGACCCCGCAATCAGGATGGATTTGGTGGTCAGAACGGCGGCCAGCGCTCTTCCAATCACGGCGCCCACTTGCCCAAGATAGTTTGGTCCGAGGTGAATCTCACGCCATTCCGCAAGAACTTTTACAAGCCGTGCGATTCGGTGCTGGCCAGAACAGCCGGTGAAACAGAGACCTTCCTCACCAGCAATGAGATCACCATTAAGGGCGATCAGGTGCCCACACCCAGTATTGAATTCGAGGAGGGCGGCTTTCCCGATTACGTGATGAACGAGATACGTAAGCAGGGTTTCGCCAAGCCAACGGCCATTCAAGCCCAGGGTTGGCCCATTGCTTTGAGTGGACGGGATCTGGTGGGCGTGGCCCAGACCGGATCGGGCAAGACCCTGGCCTATGTTCTGCCAGCGGTGGTGCACATCAATAACCAGCCGCGCCTGGAGCGTGGTGATGGACCCATCGCCCTGGTACTGGCTCCCACTCGGGAGCTGGCCCAGCAGATCCAGCAGGTGGCCATCGAGTTTGGCAGCAATACGCATGTGCGCAACACTTGCATCTTTGGGGGAGCGCCCAAGGGACAGCAGGCTAGGGATTTGGAGCGCGGCGTAGAGATTGTGATTGCCACACCTGGTCGTCTGATTGATTTCCTCGAGCGAGGCACCACCTCCTTGAAGAGATGCACCTATCTGGTGCTGGACGAGGCCGATCGTATGCTTGACATGGGCTTCGAGCCCCAGATCAGAAAGATCATGCAGCAGATCCGCCCGGACCGTCAGGTACTGATGTGGTCCGCCACCTGGCCCAAAGAGGTGCGCCAGCTGGCCGAGGAGTTCCTTAATAACTATATACAGGTGAACATTGGTTCGCTTTCGCTGAGCGCCAATCACAACATCCTGCAGATCGTGGACGTGTGCGATGAGAATGAGAAGTTGATGAAGCTGATCAAGCTGCTTACGGACATCTCGGCGGAGAACGAGACAAAGACCATCATTTTCGTGGAGACCAAGAAACGTGTGGACGAGATCACGCGCAATATCTCCCGTCAGGGCTGGCGTGCATGTGCCATTCACGGCGATAAGTCGCAGCAGGAGCGCGACTTTGTGCTCTCGAGCTTCCGCAATGGCCGTCACTCGATTCTGGTGGCCACCGATGTGGCTGCCCGCGGACTCGGTGAGTATACGTAGCCTTTGTGGGGCCTCAATGAGGCCAACTTCCGTTTTTTCTCTCCGTAACCAAGCAATTGTTGCCTGTGGATCAATCAGCATCCCGTGGGGTTTCATTCATTATTTTGTGATTCGTCGTCGACGCCTTCCTGGTTCGTCTGGTCTCAGCGATCCGTCAGCGATGAATCGGCCAACACCGCCCAGCCTCTTCGCTCTTCCTTCCGCTCTGTTTCCAGAACTTTGGAGGTTTTTCGTTTCGGGTCTGTTCCGGATTTCACAAGTTTGAGTCTCGATTTGAGCTGAAAGCGCACGATTCCAGGGGTTCATAGTTGGAATTCTCGCTATTTTCAGTGTGTAAATATTAATAGTTGGATGCAGTTTTTCTTTTGTTTGTATTCATATTGATTTGATTAAGTTGGGTAAACAGTAACTAAAAGAGCTCATCTTCGCCTAGCTTAGTCTAAAATTAACTGGGGTATTTCTTAAATTTAAAAAAAAATGTTCGAAAAATGTGAATTTGCCTGGCGGGTAGTTAAGTTAAGGCGAAGTTAACTAGCTTAAAGCTGGTTAAACTCTATCAAAGAATGTAATTTGGTAAACGTGAAAACCGGAAAGGACCGCTTGTATTTTTTGAATTGCATGTTTGAATCTCTTAACAGCCAAGAAATTGCTATTTATTATTTTTCAATCATTTTTGAGTGGTTCGATGCCGGGTGAACCACTAACTCTAACTTGAACCCTTTAGTTTGCTGAATGATTCTACAAATCCGAAGAAAAGGTGTGGGCTCAAATAATGAGGGGAATGTGTTTGTTCTCCATGCATTGCTGGTTATACGATGTTGTTACTTTTAGTTTGTTTGTTGCTCTCTTGCTCATAGTTTTTAGTTGTGTCTCGTCAATCACATTTTGAGTAACTTAATTGTAAAAAGCAATTTACTGTCAGTCAAGGAGTCAATGGCCAGCAAAATAATCTAAACAAAAAAAATACAAAAATCCTAAGTAAATAGTCTCAGTGCACCCTAAAAAATTAACCTTTAATCCAAGGCGATTAAACTATGCCTTAAAACTATACATATCTTTTAAGTTGTTTTTTTTTTTAGTTTATAGAACAATGTGAAGTAACTAATGTGTTGAGTAATTGCTACATTTTGCGGCCCAAGAATTTGTTGACTGATGATAATTTTCTGTAGCTTATTTATGTATCATAAAGTACTTAATATACTATATTACGTCGCTCCTTACTCTATGTATAATACCTAAATTTGTGTGTGAACAAAAATATCATCAGCACTTTATGAAATGGACTTCGATTTTTCAAATGGCAAAACAAGACAAAAAAACGAAAAGAAAACTAAAAAAATACCGTTTAAAGTTAAAAAGTTATATACACAAAGCAGTTAAAGAGAAAAGCTATATATACAAGTTGAGGGTTGAGTTATAAGTTTCTAGCATTGCGGAGATCCGTGGGATCTCCATCATCACGGCCCAGTTGCGAGGACAGGATCTCCAGGGACTCTTGTTCGTAAGCCTATTCGTAATTCTAATCCCATATTTTAACCCTAGAGCGCCAGGGTAAGTACTAGGCTAATTTATTTCTTCCTAATCATAGCAATATGTCCGCACCCTCGTTCCCTCCTTTCCATCATTGTATCTTGATTTTAAACCAAAGGCACCCTCTATCATAAGCTTCGATCATTCATTTACTTATATATATGTATCTCTCTTATTTATAATGTTAATTTTAATCAAGCCGTCTCTTGTATGCATTAAGCTTAAACATTTATATTACGATTTGTGTATTCAAAAATGATATGAAAGTATGATGAGAAGAAAAGGTCGAGGTCCACATTTCTGCAGTATAAAAAAAACATATGTCTATTTGCCAAAGATGTATAGTTAATTATATACGCTAATAGTATTGATGGCGAAATTTTTGTTCAAAGTACAAAAAAAACATACCAAAGAAAAAATTGTAACCGATCTACCTACCAAACGACAAAATTCATTCGACAATTCGATCAAAAATATATTTTAAGTTCTGTTAACAAACTTTACAAGAAAACAAATGATCGCACCGACATCACCAACACCACCACTACAACGACACGAACACTCACACTCACACCAATACAGAAACGGACACCACTCACACAAGCACACAAATAAGTTTTCGTTTTTGTTGAATAGTTTCTTGAGTATTGAGAAAGATTCCTATTTTCGACGCATTGGTTCGATTCGATAATTTTAACGCTTCTTTTCACATTCTTCAATTTTCAAATTCGAAATGAAAAATATAATTGAAATGAAACAGACGTTGACGATGTCAAGTTTGTGATCAACTATGATTATCCTTCGAACTCGGAGGACTACGTACATCGCATTGGACGTACAGGACGATCCAATAACACCGGCACGGCCTACACCTTGTTCACTCATTCCAACGCCAACAAGGCCAACGACTTGATTCAGGTGCTGCGCGAGGCCAACCAGGTGAGTTCTCCCATTTGCTTGCAAGCCTAAAGGTAGCAAACTTACTCACCTCCGTACTCCGTTTGCAGACCATCAATCCCAAACTGATGAACATGGCCATGAGCGGAGGCTACAACAAGCGCGGTGGCGGCATGGGTGGCGGCTATCGTGGCGGCAATGGCTATCAGGGCCGCAACCCACAGATGGGCGGTGGATACAATGGCGGCAACAACTACCGCAACAACAATGGACCCGGTGCCAGCATGAATCGCAATTCCTTCAACGGCGGCACCGCTGGCGGGCCACCACGATTCGATCAGAAGCCACGCACCTCTCCGCCAAATCAGGGCGGACAGGGCGGCTACCGTGGCCAGGGAGGCGGTGGCTACCAGGGTCAGCAGCAACAGCAGCAACAGAACGGCGGTGTGCACTTCTCGCGCTTTAATCCCAATGCCGCTTGCTTCGAGCCCAACAAGGCACAGAATGGTCCGGGATCTGGACCGCCGCAGGCACAACACCAGCAGCAACAGTCGCAGGCTGCCCAGCAGCTACACCTACTGCCCGATGCTGCATTGCAATCGGCGATAACGGCTGCGAACTACATAAACGATCAGAAGCGTTCCCGCTTCTCGCCGTACAACATGAACTTTGCCAACATGCCACCACCAGCGATGAACCAGCAGCAGCAGGCGGCGGCGGCCCAGCAGCAACAGCAGCAGCAGCAACAACAGTTGCAGACTCCCCAGCAACAGCAGCAACAGCAGCAGCAGCAGCAGCAATTGCAACAGCCACAGGCTTATGGCCAGTACTCGTCGATGTCCTCCAGCATGGCAACCGTGTCGCTGAACGGAGGAGCTGCTGCGGTGGCCAACTCTTACCGCGCCCAGTATGCAGTGCCCACGCAGGCGGCACCCTATATGATGGCGAATGGGGGCGATATCTTTGCCTATCCGCCGCCCCCACTGCCTGTGCAGAACTAAAGGCTCTGCAGCTCGATAGAGGCTACCAAATTGTAGATCAGCTCTACTGTAATTTCCTTTCCCCACACGAACATTACACGCACATCCGTACACCCACCCGATTAATTGTACACAGGCCACGATCACAAGTCCAGAGACTTCATAGGGAAGATGTTAGATGAGCGTCGGTGATGTGCGTATCGTGTAGATCTCCTCCGCCCACATCGTAGCTATATAATATGGTTTAATCTGGAATCAAATACGCTTTTAATTTGATTAATATCTTTCTTCACACCCCTCCCAAAAAAAAAACACATTTAGTTGATAAGCTTTTGGTTTAGTCAAATTGTTAGGGCATTCGAGTGCCGATCATCGATGTTGTTGGCATTTATCTTTCCAGAGCCCTGGGCGTATTTGATTTCTTTATACAATTCTCGAATATTGTACCTATCTATTCATACACTGCAAAGGAAATGTTTGCAATGCTCCAAACAAACCCAAGCCAAAAGAGATTAGATACAATCGGATTACGATGGAACACTAAATGGGAAAGCTCTCCCGCACATCTTTCACACTATCGGACACATGTACACATAAGAAACAATGTCAATTTCGTGGAATCAAATGCGTATTATTATGTCATCTTAAACCATATTATGTGACTAGTCCAATGAATTGCATAGCTGGATACTTTTCACACAATAACAACTTTCACACACAAAAACAATAAAACATCTAAATACTTTCAGAAATATGAAATGCAATTCCATTTTATGTCAGCCCATAAGTATGAATTGATAACAAGATATGAATAAAGGAATTAATTAGAAGTTCAACTGTGCGTTATAAATTATTGCCGCTGAAAGGGAAGTCGCTGAGCCGTTAAACTTAATTGATTTGCTTTTATTTTCCATTTTTAAATATATATATGTGTATATATATATATCCATATAAGAAAAACTATCATACATCGAAAATTATCATAATAATAAATAGAACTAAATTATACAAATATTACTAGACAGCTTCATCCGTTAATTGCATATCCAACGAACATTCTATCATCATCTATCCATCATCAACGTTACACCATTTCGAGAATTTGACGAAAAATATTTGTTTGTTAAAAAATTACACCATGAGATTTATGACTAACAAAATTTGCGTGAGAATGTAGAAGTCATTTGTTTGTTACATTTTATATTATTTACTTTGTATGATTTGTGTTTGCTTTTTTCGGGCTCTAACACCTCCTACTCCGCATTCGCGTTCGCATCCGCTTCTGCATCCGCATCCGGATCCGCATCTTCTTTGTGGCATTTGCATATATATATCGCCTTATAACGCTATACTCGATTCCTAAATCTATGTACCTTGCGCCTTCGGATCCAACTCGCTGTGTCCCTATGTGCCTATCCTACGCATCGGTTCTTTGGCTGCCTCTTGAATATCTTTGTAGTTTAATGCTTTATTTGTTGCTCCGCATAGGTATGTATAGTAGTTGCTCGTCTTGTTTGTGGTAAGTAGTACGCAATTTGGGGCGGCTCCATCTGCCCGCCACTGGGATTTCTGAGGGTCTGAAACATTGAGTGCAGTTTTACAATTTCTTAATTGATTTGCTTCTTCCATTTTGGAGTTTGTTTCTTTTCGGTTTTAGTTTTTTTTTTAGCTTTTTCTTCGTTTTTTTTTTGTTCTTTGTGTGTTTGTTACGGGGTTCGTATTTGGATAATTTTGGTTAATTTTAGCTTTCCTCTTTGGCTGCAGTTGGCCTCTCCAACTGTGTGTGTGGTGTGGTGTGTGTGAACGTGGGTGCATCCTTCGTCTGCTGGCTGTTTACATATATAGATATCACGATAGTTCCTGCGAGAACTGCGTCTCCAGGGTGGGTCTAGTTCTAGTGGGATTCCTGCTGGGATTGCGTATCGGTGGTCCTGGGCTGCCATAGCCCGCCGCATACAGCTGCGGGCACGAGTCTTTTATGAGTTCCTGCGTCTCGCGCAGCTGCCGCTGCACTTGCGGCGCCAGTCGCTGCACACTGATGGCTGGCGGGAACTTGTATTCCGCCGCTGGAGCGGGCTGTCAAGTAAATACACATGTTTAGTAACACATAGGATATCAGTCACGATTTTAGACATTCAGAGCTAGTTGTTCATGAGCGCGAATTCTTCAGGCGGTAGCAGCATAATCCGAGGAATACGCGTTTGCCCCATGGATAGCTGCATTCGGGATCACTCACCTGGACGCCGTGCATCATCTCGCCGTAGTAGGCGCCCGGCGGAGGAGGCGGCGGCTGTTGCTGCTGGATTTGGCTGTGTGGAGCGGTTGGCGGTTCGTAAGTTTCGGGGGCGTTGCATTTGATACTGAAACGCATACCAAATATTGCATATTCATATATATACTGTGGACAGACGCCAGATAGCTGAACTCACCCAGTTGCACAGAGGAGAGTGGTTGCAGCGGGGCCACCATAGATGAGGCGCTTTGGACTCACGCTCTGTGGCTTTGATCCGGCGGGAAGGGTCAGCAGGTATTGCTGTTGCTGCTGGTAGAGTTGCTGCTGCTGCTGATTGAGTTGCAGCTGCTGTTGCTGTTGCAGCTGCTGTTGCTGCTGCAGCTGCTGTTGCTGCTGTAGCTGCTGCTGCTGCTGTTGCTGCTGTAGCTGCTGCTGCTGCTGTTGGTGCTGCTGCTGCAACTGCACGAGCTGTGCCGCTGCTGCTGCCGTGGACGTGTTGACAACATTAGGATCCAACTGGGGCAGCAGGATTAGTTGCTGCTGCTGCTGGTAGAGCACTGCCGCCTGTTGCTGCTGCTGCTGTTGCTGCTGCTGCACCACTTGCCGTCCCGTCAACACATGCTGAGGTAGATACTCCGTCGTGGGCAGCGCGACTATCGTCGAGGAGGAGGAGGCGGTGACCGCCGACGCGCTGGAAGGCTGGAGCAGCAGGCCGGCGCCACGTGGTGGCTGCTTCAGTGGCACCTGCACCTGGCGGATGGGCGTCGTCTGCAGCGAGCGGCTGGCCGAGGAGCAGATGGAGGCCGTGATGCTGGCGGACTCCCAATGTTGACGCAGGGCGTTTAGGCGGGCCTCCTCCAATGCGATCTCCGTTTCGCTGGCCGAGTCGTAGTCGGGACCCTAAAATAAACGTGTTGTAATTGTTTAATTGTTTAATTGTTTAAATGTTTAATTGAGTAGACGAATGAATCCTCGTAGCGTTTCTTGCTGCGCAGGAGATTCGCATATCTCTTTGAAGTGAAATTTACAAGTAACAAGCGAATTTTAATGGCTCCTCACATGTTGTTCGAAAAGAAAACAAATATGGGGCCGTAAAACCAATTGTTTTGGTCTTTCGATTTGGCGTGGCCAAATACTTAGCACACTTATATATTGATCTTTGGCCAACAAGCCATTTGTTTATTATCATGAAACAGCCCATTACAAATCAATATTATGACTATTTGCACCCATTTTCACGTTCACAAAATGCTGCTCTTCTTTTACTTTCGTTGGGATTATATTATAAAGCTTTTAAAATATATGTGTTTTTTTCTGATTTAAATTTCATGCTTCGTATATTGCGTATTTGGGGTCAATGAATTTCAATTTTTGGAATTTCTTGCTTGGTGTTTATGGAAACAGCGACTGTTTTCTGTACTTTATAGTCAACAAGTGATTGTAATAAACTAATTTAGTGGACTGAAACTATGGGAACCCCCCAGATTTAAGGTACCATCTGTTTGGGCATCACTAAGCGGATACTCACCTCATCGATCTTCTTGTCCAGCATGCGGAAGAAGTTCTGTTGGCTAGATGATATTTCCCTGGAAAAGTGAGGTGTTCATTTTCGGTTATGTGGTCGGTGGGCTGACTTACTGGCTTTGCAGCAGCGACAGGTTCTTGGCGCGCAGCAGGGAGACGGCCACGTCCTCGTCGCTTTCCTGGATGTCCTTATTGCTTAGCTCCTCGCTCTCGTCGTGCTTCTCGCGTTCGCGCTGCTGTGCCTTCTCGGCATCCTCGATGTGGCCTTCGTCCTCGTCCGTTTCGGCATCTGAGTCGGCTGCCAAATGGACAAACAAATGGATAATGCCAAAGAAGAGTTTCGAGCATTAGTCAAGTTGAGTGGGCAATTTCGCGAGTGCCATGGAGTGGCAAAAGTTTTGCAATAAGCCAAGTGTGGCAACTTTTGTGCGAAGGGGCGCAGTCGAGAAAAATTCTTAGAAAACACTTGTAAAAATTACGCTAGGGCCTGGGCATGTGAACACTCTGCAGAACTAACTATCCGCCTTAGAAACAGAACATAGAACATTTCATTAAACATTTTTTGGTGTAAACAACAAGCTGTTTGCTAATCCATGATTCGGCTTGACCTGCGTATACGTAATATTTTCTTGGGCCTTTCTTTGAAGTGGCCTTGCTACCCATAAATTTAATTAAAAGCCGCTATGCATCTTAATGCAAATTCGGAAAAGCGAGAGCCGAGTATTATGAATAATTAATCTAGGACCGAGAGTAAAGCTTGGGCGCCTTCGAAATATTTGGGTCGTTTATGGCACAATGGCGCCTTTGTGTATGCTATACTTTTTTAGCTTTAACCCTTTTGCCCACACACACAGCGATACAAACTTACGGTGCCTGGGGGGGCTGGCCACGCCCCTTGAAGCGGCGCCCACTGCAACAACAAGTTGCCTTTTTAGCAGTTAATTATACACACAAAATGGAATAAAAAAGCAAGGCAACACGCACACATTGACAGCCACAAAAGAGCGGGGTTGGGCATAGTCAAAAGTTTGGCATGTAGGCTAGGTTTTTACATTCTTATAAACTTAAGCGCAAACACTGGCTAGTGTGTGTGTGTGTGTGTGTGTGTGTGTTTTGGTGTATATATAGACAATGCTGTGGGCTTTAAAATGTAGGCCTTTATTACTTTGGTGAATGCATGGCCTTAAAACTGGGCTTCTCCTTTCAACTTCCCCTGCGCTGCCCCTTTTTTCACTGCTGGTGACATATTAATCAATGATGTCCTCATTGTGTGGAAACAGGTGGCTCACACACACACACGTACACACAGAGACTGCACGGAAACACGGACGCACACACACACACACAGCTGGAGGCAAATTGATGTCGTCATGCGTGTAAGCTTTTGTTGTGCGAGGCAATACTTTTTCCTCGGCGTTTTCCCAATTTCCCTCGCTCTACACAGAAGAAAATGCTCAAACGATTTTGTAGATCATTCCAAATGATCGGCGATATAAAAATGTAGCAAAACAATATCAATTCTAATACGCAAAACAAGAATAACATAAAATCTATAGGTAAAATGGTGATATACTAAGCTGTGAAATTTGCGTAGATCAATTCATCGAGCATTACTGGTTCTTCACGATATAAATAACATAAATTCCTATTAAAAATATTTGAAAACCTTTAGAAACTTTTAGATTGATACCTTTAGGTTGCTAGCTTTTAATGGCACTCTACGACATTTTCGTTCTGTGCACCGTATATGGGATCTCATGAAGTCAGTTGCCCCAAGGATACACTCCCATTTCGACTACTCACCATGTCCTCCTTTCTTGCCGTTCGCTTTACTCTTCGATTTCCTGGGATACAAATGTATCTTGCTCTGTCCACAGCCCATCTTTTGAATGTGCCGCTGCCTCTAGAAATCCAGAATCGCTGCTGCCGCTGCTGCTACTGCTGCTGTTGTTGTTGTTTTCAATTTGTGTTGGTTTTTTTTTTTTGTATTTATCTGCCGTGTTTTTGTTGTATTATTAATTTGTTGCTCGACACGTTGCTCTCCCGCTCTGTCTGCCACTCGCGCCACTCTTCACGCCTGCTTCACCTCTCCTTCTTTTATTTACGTTTGTCGTCTATTCTTTCTTCTGTTTTATTCAATTTTCACTAATTTAACTATGTGTGTAAATTTAATTTATTTGATTTGCTGTTGTGGCTGCCGCTGCGACTGATGCCGTTGTCAATTTCGCAAGATTGAGGTAGCAGCAACAAATGCTCCTCGAAGGGGGGGAATACATTTGTGCGTGAGTTTTTCTTAGGGAAAATACCACCCATGCCACCCACTCAGCCAGCCACCTATTTCCAGTTCAAACCAAATACAGGACAACTTGGCTAATTCGAGTGAAGTCAAGTACTTAATTAGTGGATTACTTTAAAATTGATAGCAAGAGTAGAACGAGCCATTAGTTGCAATTTCTTTAATAATCCTTTAATATTTAATATTAGTATTCAATCAAAAAATAATACTAATGCTTTTTAATTTTTAAGGATCAGTCAACAATTTTTGAATATTTTTCATATTATTATTTAATCATTTTAGTTTTTATTTATATATTCTTAAATGAGTCAGTACATATAGGAAATTAAATTTACTGAGGGTTCTAAAAACTTCTGGCAAATTTAATTGAAAAATTTGTTTAAAGAAAGAGTTTTAATTGGTAATAGCATTATTTAATGTGACAAGGTTTAAGTTCAGCTTAATTGCCCTGCACGATGCTTCACTGTAGTGGCATTTCCCTCATCTACTTGTCTTCGGTTTTTTGGGGACTGTAACGGAAATTAAGTGGGTCCCTGGCTGGCACTCAACCACTTGTTTCAGCCGTGCTATAAATTCAATTTGCAGCGTCAATTTGTAAACAGGACAAACCCATAAAAGGGTTTTCTGACCAGGGCTGCAGCAGCACTACGCCAATCGCTCTCCTTGAGAGCCTTTTCTGTGTTGTTGATGTTTTCGATGCCTTTGAAGGTGGCACCCACTTTGTTCAACTAATCGCGCGCGTGGTGTTTTTGCTGCTGCTGTTGTTGTTGTTGTTTATGTTGTCGTTGGTAATTTAAACAAATAATAACGATAATAAGCACAACAAATAGTGTGCAACAAAAACACTTGAATTATATTCAATTATTCGCAGAAAGAGCGAGAGCACTCGGCCACTCGCTTTTGCTCACTGGATATTATAATAGACACCGACACGGGAGACACACCGCACCACCACACGCACACCAAGCACACGGAGCACACGCACACATGCGCCCATTTTGGGGGAAGACGGACACAGACAGGCGCGCGCCAAAAAAGAGAGAGACAGAGAGAGAGAGAGAGAGAGAGCGCCACAGAGAGAGAGAAATTGATTTTTCTATTTATAAAAAAAAATCAAAATATATCCGCTTGGTTCACATCTTCCCTTCTTTTTTTTTGATTATTTTATTTTTGTTGCCGCCAACTGGCAGCGAAACATAATTTATGTTTTATTTATGATTGCCGGATTTTCATTTAATTTCCATTCCCCATTGCGATTTTCGGCTGGCCGCTATCCGTTTTATTTCGCCCCAAAGAAACTTGTTTGATTTATCTCACTTGACCACTTGGGCGCATTTGGCCATTCCATCAAATAAAAACACTATCATTTACCGTTTAACGAATACACCAACTTATTTACACCAATTTGTTAATAACTAAGAGGAACTGTCGCCCATTTTTTCTGTTTTCCTTTCTTTTTTTTTAATTATTTACACTGGCTTTTTCCTGCGGAAAACTTTGCCGAAAAGTATCTGCGACGCGTTGCGAGTGTGCGGAATTTGTATGAAATTTATGCTGCATGACACTCCTCTTTGTGTCACAAAAAAGCGAGAACCGCTCTCAGCGGCATGCCAGCACACACACAACGATGGAGGTGAGTGCCCACTGTAATGGGGGTGGGTTTTCAGGCGGAGCTTTCACACAGGGGTTCAATGCTACCGGAGCATGCGGAGCTGGAGCTTTCGGCAAACGGCGAGCTTCGGGGTGCTCCCACAGCGAACTCTCCTGGTTGAGCACGCTATAAGCTTTGTGCCAGGAACTTTTCGGAATTGTTGGCCACGCGAAAACCGCTCCAGTAATGCCAAAAAGCTCCTGCAGAGGTCAGGTCAGTCCCCATTCTTGAAGTTTGCAAAAGGTGTTATACCAAAGATACTAGAATAATAAGATGCGTAACACCATACGATTTTTTTGCACACGATTTTTTCGGGCTAGCTCTAGAGCAGGCTCCAGGCTCCAGAGAGAGAGAGAGAGCGCTCTAGAGCCAGCAGCTCTCTTGTTCGCATCAGAGATGCCAATATTTTTCTGAAAAAAAAAGATAGATTGAGAAAAAAAAACGGAAAAAATAGGCTGAAAATTTCAAAAAAGGATGAAAAATCAGGACAGATTTTGAATCATACGTTTGATTCATACGTTGCCATTGTGCCAATGCGTTTCAAATACGTTTCGGGCATTTTATAGGCTTTATTTAAGGTAATTATTACTATTCACTCACTATTTCACGCACTAATATAATTATGACAAAATAATAGTTTATTATTTAATCACTTACAGCTCGAGATTAATTTAGTAGCACTTTGTATACAAGTAAACATAAAAATATATATCCCTTTCAGTGTAGGGTAATCAATTTCTTTACAATAATTTTATATTGTATTTTAAATATTTTTTATTAATAAATTAATAATTATTAATAAATATTATAACATTTCAAACACTTGTATGAATAACATTTGCCTGGTTATTTGTTCAAGAGGGATGCCAATGTGATCTTGCAAGTAATCACACTTAAGAACACATACACTACACTCACTGCTCGACCAGTAAGAGAGATTACTTGAACTACTTTTCGACTCTAAATTAGAAGACATGCCTTACAGTCTTCACCAGAACTAGTTGGGAATTATAGGGCTACAAGAAAATATGTTTCCTAAACAAATATTAAAAGCGGCATCAACTATGTGTTCTGACAGTAAGTTAAACATTCTTCAGGCTTTAATTAACACAATTTTTACTAGTTTGTGCAAGTAACACATACACTACATACATACATACATACATATATACCATACATACATACATACATACATACATACATACATACATACATACGTACATACGTACATACATACATACATACATACATACATACATACATACATGCATACATACATACATACATACATACATACATACATACATACATACATACATACATACATACATACATACATACATACATACATACATACATACATACATACATACATACATACATACATACATACATATGTACATACATACACCGGTGCATACACTACACATACACTACATTCACTGCTCGACCCGTAAGAGTGGAAACTGGAAACATTTTGCGACTCTAAATTAGAAGACATGCCTTACAGTCTACACTAGAACTAGTTGGGAATTATAGGGCTACAAGAAAATATGTTTCCTAACGTGGAAAATATATTTGATCTTAGTGATTCTTATGTGCGCTGGTCCTGCCTCAAGAATTCCATTTTGCCATAAACAGGTTGCATATGAAGTTTTTTATTTATTTAGTATATTTATTAGTGCAATTATTAGTATACAAGTAAAAAAAATGCAAACTTATGTAAATGACCAATTTTCAGTATTTGAAATGCAAATATTATTTTGTTGAATGTTTTTGTAATATTCTAATTTGATATTTTTAAAAACCTCGCAATTTTAGCATTTAACAGTTCCATCTGAGCTTTTCATAAATGAGAAAAACTACTCGATAGAATCGGACTTTGGAAAACTAAAGGCACCAGCTGAAAATGTCCTAAGGCTGAAGCTCTAAACTCAATAACTCAAATTATCTTAGTCGGCGTTTGAAGTGCCTCTTAATGTTTCTGGCGCAATTCTCTAAAAATCTGCATTCAAATTTTGAAATTTAATTTTTCTTATTTTTTTTGTATTTTTTCTAATGCTATTATATTGTAGAAGTTCAAAAAAGGTAAAACATGTCCCAAGGCTGAAGGTCTAAAGTCCATAACTCGGATTTAATTGGATTTTGAAGTGGCATACCCCTAAATGTTTCTGGCGCAATTCTCTAAAAATCTGCATTATAATTTAGAAATTATTTTTTTTTAAATTTTTTTTAAATTTTTTTGATGTGATGATCGTCAAATTGCCAGCTTTAAAATCAGGAATGTATTTAAATATGTGTTGTGTGATTTTGCAGTATTATTTCATTTATTTTATAATAAAAGCACTCCAATTTACATTATTTCACATAATAATGATATTATTTTATATGCATTTCTAGTTTACATACAATTTATCTATGTAAAATTGCATAGTTCTCTATTTTCCAGTAGTTTACATGATCAGAGCGAAAGAGAGCAAAGTTCCGTTGGATCCTCGCTTATTCCGTTTTCTTCCTATCCTCTAAGTACGCCGTTACCTGCCAGTTCTTAGCTGCGCTTTTCTCAGACGGTTGATTTTTGGCATCACGTGTTTCAATGAGTTTAATGAAACTAAAGGCGTTCGGAATTAGTTAAAACTTGTGTTAATACTAAGTAATCTTTATCTCTCTGTTCAATCAATCTCTCTGTTTCGATTTTGAGTTATTAAAGCACCTGCAAGAAGTGAAAAACAGCGTGCTTCGGTGCACACGTGTGTGTGTGTGAGCTTCAAAAAGTGGCAGCTGCCAATTTTATGTTAAATAGACATCGAAAAGGAGTTATTCTAGTTAAAATGAATGCATTGTCGGCTAGTTAGTATGTTAGCAATAACGTGCGAACGCAAAATGCAATATAATATCCGAATTTACGGTTTTTAATTTAGGCATTCAAGCGGGTGACGCGCGTTTTCATGTGTGTGTGTGTGTCTCGATGCGACAAGTTCGCCGTGATTTAAATCCGCCGTGCTCCTACTTCGCCGTGCATAAATGCAGGTGTGTTGGCAATGATGCGCAATTCGCCGCAAATAGTGTTTGTGGTTTGCGGCGAGTTTTGATATCCAATTTAAATCGTTTAATTTAATTCAAAGCGTTCTTTTTTTTATGTTCCATTTTTTTTTGTGTGGTATTATAATATATGTGCATCAATTTATTAAAATTTTAACATCTTGGTGTGTTAAAATGAAGATAATTCCTCATAATTAGAGGAAAATTTCCCATTTTAAAGTGTTTTTTGTTTTTTATTTTAAAGTGCTCAAAAAGTGTAATGGAAAATTTTATATTGAATTGTGTTTATATTTGTTTTTTATTTTAAAGTGTTCAAGAAAGAAAATTTTCTGTTGTAAAGTGTTTATATTTGTTTTTTTTTCTTTAAGTGTTCAAAAAGGGAAAAGTAAAATTTTCTATTGTAAAATGTTCAAAAAGGTAAAGTAAAATGTTGTATTGTAAAGTGTTCATTTGCAATTTCAAAAAATTAAGAAATGTCCTAAGACTGAAGTTCTAAACTCCATAACTCCACTTGTGTTAATCAGATTTTGAAGTGGCATACCTCTAAATGTTTCTGGCGCAATTCTCTAAAAAACTGCATTCAAATTTAGAAATGTATTTTTTTTTCATGTTTTTCTAATTTTTCTGATGTAGAAATCAAAGAACTTAAAAAATACCAAAATCTGAAGTTCTAAACTCCATAACTCCACTTCTGCTAATCAGATTTTGAAGTGGCATACCTCTAAATGTTTCTGGCGCGATTCTCTAAAAATCTGCATTCAAATTTAGAAATGTATTTTTTTTTCATGTTTTTCTAATTTTTCTGATGTATGATGTTGTAGAAATTCACAAAAATTAAAAAATGAACCAAATCTGAAGTTCTAAACTCCATAACTCAACTTATCTCAATCAGATTTTGAAGTGGCATACCTCTAAATGTTTCTGGCGCAATTCTCTAAAAAACTGCATTCAAATTTAGAAATGTATTTTTTTTTCATGTTTTTCTAATTTTTCTGATGTATGATGTTGTAGAAATCAAAGAACTTAAAAAATACCAAAATCTGAAGTTCTAAACTCCATAACTCCACTTGTGCTAATCAGATTTTGAAGTGGCATACCTCTTAATGTTTCTGGCGCGATTCTCTAAAAATCTGCATTCAAATTTAGAAATGTATTTTTTTTTCACGTTTTTCTAATTTTTCTGATGTATGATGTTGTTGAAATTCACAAAAATTAAAAAATGAACCAAATCTGAAGTTCTAAACTCCATAACTCAACTTATCTCAATCAGATTTTGAAGTGGCATACCTCTAAATGTTTCTGGCGCGATTCTCTAAAAAACTGCATTCAAATTTATAAATGTATTTTTTTTTCATGTTTTTGT